AATAGTGGTAGAGGAGGGCACGAAGATGAAATTGTTGGTGAGAGAGGATGGGGGATATACTGTAGGTTAACATGTCTGACCGCCATTACCCTGATTATCGTCACGGGAGACAGACGGGGAAGAAGGAGGGGAGGGAAAGAAGTGGTTGAAGAAGGAATGAGAAACGAGAGGTAGGAGTAATATAAGGAAAATAAGAGAAATGGTAGAGGGATGGAGCGAAGTAGAAGATTTAAAGAGGAAGAGTGTCAGTGAAAATAGAAAAGGGAGAAATAAAAGAGGAAAGTGGAAAAGAAAAACAATAAACTAGGTGTGTCATGAGACTGACACTCCACATACAGTAACTTCACCGGTTTAGCTTACAATGGCAATGTTAGAAAGACTAGAACGAGTCACCCGAGATGAGCTTCACGTTAGTACACAGACGACGCTCACCAAGGTACAGTATACCAGTAAACTGAGCCTCATGCATAAAACAATATAATCTACTCTGTATAGTATACGTACAGTGTCTCAGCCCTCCACGCGGCGCATTTTGATACTGTAATGAAAACTATGGGTGAGTCTAACGATTTTTCTGAAAAGTAAAACAAGTAGTTGCTGAGCTGATTGTATAAGATTTATACCCAAGAGCGTTGTTGATGACGTGTAGTAGTTTACTGTGATGGGTAAAGTTCAGAAGGTATTGTTTTGATTTATCCAGGAAGTGATCAGCATTAGTAGGACATAAAATAATGTTACTCGAGTCTGTCTTACCAGATTTATTGTAAGGTTTCTCCATTTTGTGCCATTCAGTCGTGTAATTTCACGTGCATCTTGATAGGGCCAATTGTAAGAACAGTCTTGGGGTGTACGATGCCATTTACGATGACCTTCTTGCCCTGATCTTGTTTCAGTTATACCATCCCTTTGAAGCTCTGGAGAGATCTCGAAGTTTCGATATTTTGAGTACAGCACTAGCTAATAATTCCCACCAGGAAACTTGCTTCAAGATTCCTCCAAAGCTTCGAAAAGTGCAGAATTCCATGTGTTAAAGGCGATATTGCTGAAAAAAGACCAGGGCAGGAAGGTCATCGTAAATGGCATCGTACACCCCACGACTGTTCTTACAATTGGCCCTTAATTACTATACCATCACTTGAAGAATAAATCATAGTAACGTTTCTGCATTTTTTAGCTTGTAGATACATCAAAGTTTTTGGTTAATCGTGGTTTTACCAATACTGTAGATGGTTAATTATAATAGTTGTGGAGCTGTGTCGTTTTAACATTTTTACTTCACATGTTGTAGTATACAAGTAGAATTTGGATTGAAGGTAACTGTTTTGGTATGTAGGTTTGACGTTTTGTTTCAGTAACAGAATCTTCCCTTTGGCCTGTTAAGAAATAAAGTTATTTTCAAGGTGTTAGGTGTATGATGATAGCAGCAGTAGGTAGTGAGAGTAAAGGTGTTCCTGCTGGTGGGATGGCTCGTGTGGGCAGCTGATATGACTGGCCAACTGGTGGAATTAGCTTGTGATTCACGCATTTCCTCCGGACAAGATAATTTGCAGGATACTGGGATGATAATTTGGAGTTGAGGCTACCCTGGCACCCTAAACCAGGTCAAGGCTGGGCTTGTCCTCCAGGGAATTTCGGGAGGATAGGTCAAGCCAGCTATTAGGTTCCCTGGCAGGATACCTAATGGAACGATGTGTGAATTGCCAGGCATATTTAGGTCACGGGGAAAGACGAATCCCTCCCGGAGGTAGGTGCGCTGGACATGACTTCGTACCGGCTATAGGGAACCCCTAAAACGTGTGTGTGTGTCCGGTTGATTTACTGCCTATAGGTGTCTTGGACTGTAACAGCTTTTATGTACTGTTCATGTGTAACAATTGAATATGATTAGTATAACTGAAGACTAAAAACAGGTTTTTAGAACAGTGCAGAGAACAGTTGTACTAAAAAAATAAACATGTTATACCTACTGTACAGCTATCTTGTAGAAACACAGATATTCTGGTAGTAATAATAATATTAATACGAACAATAACTAATGATAATAGTAACAACAATGCTAATATTAATAATAATAAAAAAGTGAAATGGCTAGACTTATCATCTGCTTCTCATGCATTAAGTATAAGGTGGACAATGTGATTACATCCCACTTGGGCGATCATCTGGTTTATGTTATTTAACGTAACGTAACATAATCTAACCTGATCATGTAATTTAAAAGGATAAAAATCGCATAAAACAGACGATCATCCAGGTGGGAATCGTACAAGTGGGATAACACCGGACAGTGTATAAACTCGGACCTGGATTTTTTTTTTCATGTCAAGTTTGTTTATATCTCAGAGTTCAGCCTACTTCCCGAAGTCATGCAACAAAAATTATTTTTATACAAAACAAAATAACACCACGAATGAAGTCCCATGAGGATTACCTCGCATGGGAAGCCCTGCGTGTTGATTGTTCAATTCGAAATTCATCGAACCCTTCCTGAAAGATATTTTCTTTTACCGGGTGCATGTGTACTACCGTGAGTATTGTGGGTGTGCTTACTGTGTCGCAATGTGACTGCTGGCGTACATTTATGTGTCGTGGCGTGTTTACTCGGTTTTGAGGTCGCTTCCGGTTACCTCTCATCTCTCAAGCTTCCCGGCTCACAATCTAATTAAAAGTTCTAATTGCCTATCTCATCATTTTCGTGGTCGAAGTGATAATTTCTTTGTGCTTCACGAAGGCAACTTGGTTGTGACATTGGCGTCTGCGCTGAAATGAGTACGGACATCTGTACTTGCATTTGTACCCTTTCCCTCAAATTATTGCGACCCCCATTTTGTCCTTGAAAACTTAAGATGCAGCTGATAGAGCCATTAACCTGATGTAACCAAAACACCAGGAAAAACTATCTTTGTTTGTACCCAAGAGAATAGTACTCAATTCTTAAATGTGTTGAGAAAGCAAGACGTACCCCAAAAATTATCTTGTACACCCCCCTGCCCTCTTCCGTCGATTTGAGAAAATGGTTGGTGCTGTTTTCTTTTTTGTTGTCCGGTCGATTACTCAGCCACTTTTTTTTTTTTTCTAGAAAGCTGAAATATGGACACAATAATGACCAAGGATTTAGGATAGAAAAAAGTCATTAGCTTGATATAAACGTAAAACACAAAGAATATACATGTACTCTGTTAAAGTCAACATATGCTCTTACTGATATTATGATAAACTAAAGAAAATGATAAATAAGTTAATTCCCTTGTCGTGTACTTACAGTACAGTACACATACAGTAAACACACGTACCCTCTGTGAAGATTTTGCAAGAAACACATTGACGTACATATGGAACTCAGTGCATCTGTCCTTGTCGATAGAATACATGTATTATTACTGTACTTCAGCGTCTAAGGCTGGACTGCTCATGAAAGGTTAAAAGTTACACTAGTTCTTTAACAATTAAAAATTTATGAAATAGCGAATGCTCGGAGTTGTTCCTGACAGCAGGATATTGAGTAACTATGGGTAAGACGTAATTTCATCTGAGCTCTCTCCCCGAACTGCTTTTTTGTGCTTGTCCAAGTCCACATGAGTTGGCAAGTCAAGAACGCCTTTATTTGCCACCGAGACGTAAGTACCAGGTTTACATACCCAGAACTCAGCTTACCAATCTTCTCTGCCATTTCGAAAACATGGGAATTTACTTTTCAGTTCTGCCGTGAATTTACACTTTCATTTTGGCATTGTATTTGAGGATTGAAAAGTGAGAAATAAAATATTGTACAGTAAACCGCTTTGGAAGGAATGCCTCTGTACACAGTACAGTCTGAAAAGACACGGGAGTCACTGACTGAACATTTGGCACGTAATTTCATATCAGAGTTGACAGTCTAATGTTGTTAGAGTTTATCAGAGAAATTGCTAGAATGTCGATATGATCTACATCCTCCAGAAAATTATTCTTGTTTTGTTAGAATATCAGTCAAACTTGATATATGTATGATGTTTATAGGCTAGTATTTGCTATGTAAGTGAATTTCGCTTCATTAGCCACAAAACCGCTAAAATGGTAACCCTGGACACGATTACATCTGTCCAAGACGACGTAACGAACTAGACAAGTCTCATAATCGAAATCCCGTGTCTGATGTCATTCACTCTTATAATATATTAATTCTTCTTTAGAAAGATAATAAGGACGAAATTCCGGACATTTTTTAATATTTGAAAATTCCCCCCGGACGCAGATTGAGGACCAAAATGGAGGACATGTCCGGTAAAATCCGGACGTATGGTAACCCTACCTTCGTGTGATTAAAATTTGACCGTTACTTTATGATGATACACTGTTTCCTTTCAGGGTGTTATTTTTCCTGTTCTTTCCCTCATTTATACCATAGGACGTGGGTGTTTATGGTGGTAGAGTCAGGTGCACGCGGGGACACTCGCTACCCATTGTGTTAATGGAAAAGTAACCAGCCAACCAGAATGCCAGTTTACTTACTTTGGATACACAGTACTGTTTACTGTATGGTTAAAGTCATAAACAAAAGCCGCCTAATGTATCCGTTAAATTATTCATAATCCGTTAATCACAGAACTTATTTGAAGGTATTTGGACAAACTACAATACTGTACATAATTGTTTTAGTTTAACATCCACACCATGTTGTATCAGTCCTAAGATAAATGTCTATAGTTCTTAAACCTTATTATGTACAATATAACTAGGGGTGAACAACGTACTGATAAGAGTTACTCAGTTAAAATAATGAAATACAGTATTGACACTTCATTCTGCCTACCGCTAACACTAACCCTATAAGCAGTTGAAAGTGTGATACAATATGTGTTTATTTTTACTGTATTATACTGCCCTAATGAACCATGGGCCTCTAGTATGTAAATGTGAAAATCTTTTTAATTCGTGTGGATATACTCATGAAAAGCATGGAAAGTCGTGGCTGTGCCATTTCTCTAAATGATTTTCGTGTGAAAGAACCCAACTTTTTGCAGGAATATTTCTAATTCATAGCCCTTCATTCACAGGTTGATTGTGGCCAGTGTATTTGGTACGACCATTGTGGGATGAGTGAACGTGGTTACCTCAACTGTGCCTACAATGGCACCGCCAAACGCATATCAAGAGCAGGCATCAGTATACTCAATCAAACATGTCCAGAACTTGTCTCAGAATTCAGTAAGTATGTCATGGTAGCTTTGTATAAAAAATAAATTGTTTGTTGGTGTGGGTGTCAAATGTGAATTGAAGCTTTGTGTCATTACAAATATTTGCTAATACAGTACTGTATTGTGTATAGTTATGTTGTACACTTGGAGTTCATCTTTCAGACAACGCCAAGTATTATTTTATCAAACAGTATATCATGATCAGTTATATTTCATTTATTTATTTAATTTTTCTTGTTATCTGCAAATCCTAATTTTTCCAAGGGTTCTTTCAGAGGAGGTTGCCACATTAAGGAGGCTCCAGGCTTTCCTTTCACTGGACATCATTTTTATCCTCTATTGCCCTTATCTCCTTTACCATTCTCCTTAATGTATTGTTCCATCTTTTCCTCCCATGATGTAGGTGGTCTCCTTCTACCAGCACACATACTATATCACATGCCTCTGTACCCTTGTTTTATTATCCTCTGCTCTTGCATCATTTTAATTTGTGCATATCATCTTGGCTACAGAGATGCAGGGTTGCTTCTTGGACTATATAATAGTTCTGAAGTCCCAGATGCAACCCTGCATCTATGTAGCTTGAATTGTAGATTACTGTAGTCCACTTCTTTCTGAGCTTATGTTCGACTGCTATGATTTAGGAAGTTATATACAGTACAGTACTTTGCAGTACTTTGTCTTGAGTTTTTTCCTTGCTTCCAGGCTCACAATCCATCCCTTGATGATAATCCCACCCTGATCACCCTCCTTCCAAATATTATTCACTTCCTAATTGCACTATTCATTACTGTACAGTATATCATTCTTACTTACCATCACCTCATCCAGTATTTCACTCTTTATTACGATTTTTAATTTTAGTTTGAAAGATATTTTATTGTGTGGTTTACAAAATCCCACTTCATAAAACTCCTTCCTCTCAAAAGCCATTTTCACTTCACTGTTATTCATTTATCAACTTTCATAGTTCACAAAAAACTCATATTTCTCCCTCACTCTCACTTTCACTGCAGCTTCATAGCTCTTGCATACTGTACTGTACTGTACTGTACAGTACAGTATTTTCACAGGTATACCGGGGTACTTAGAAGATTGATTACTTTATAGTTTTGCATTATTCCTCACCACCTTTTCTCATGCTGTATTGTTCTGTTCTGTACTGTACTGTACTGTACTGTACTGTACTGTACTGTACTATTATACCCTTTGGCCAGTCATCTGGCATAGGCAGTGCTGGGTTTAGACCTGTGGAGGCCCCCCTCAATTATACCACCTAAGAGGGTGGGGTGGAAAGTGAAGCGAGCCTAAACATCTGGGAGTTCCGGGGGGGCGCTGTAAACCCCCCGGGAAAATTTTGAAATTTGAACACTGCTTTGGAGAATTTTTAAGCCATATGCAGTTATATTGATGAAATTAGAACATTGATAAATTTTTGATTAACTGTATATTTATTGATAGTGTACAATTTCCCAACACAGAAAAGTGAGACATGACTGGAGTCATTCACGTGGTTTCAAGTCGACCAGCCCTGATATAGCTACTACCGCACATGTCAAAAATTTTCAAGAGACTTCACAGAAAAGAATATATTAGTTATTACAGAGAGATGATTCTTTGCATTATTAATCAGATAAACCTCTACTCAAATAATGGTTCTGTCCAAGAATGCATGTACAGTATAGGCTTCTTTTAAGTCCAAGGTCAGATGTAATATGTGGAGGCCCCCAGATTGTGGAGGCCCCTGGGCAGCTGCCCACTTTGCCCACTCCTGAATCCAGCCCTGGGTAAAGGACTATCCCTGCTCTCCATGCCATCTGACATAGTGTACAGTACTGTACTCATATTGGAATATCACTTATTATTTTCCTGTTTGAAATCATCAGAGGGTTGATTATGCAGGAACATCCTAAAGGAATTTACTTTTTGATTACTGTGTTTGTTAACTGTCCAAGAATCAGCAGCTAAGTTCAGTCTTCAAGCTGTAATTTTGCCTGATTTAACTCTACAAAAGATAGAAACAGAGATAGGAGAAGAATGAAATGAGAAGGAAGGGTAGAAATGGTAAAAAAAAAAAAAAGTACCCTGTAGTAAGAAATTCTGATCTGAATTCTAGATCAGCATTTAAAAATGTATAACAAAAACATCACTATGGGTATTGGTAAAACTTTAAAACTAGAAATATAACGTAGTGTTCATTAGACAATGTACAGTACTGTACTTAGCTACCGGTAATGTTAAAACAAATACAGTATAGTAGATTATAAGAAGTTATAGTTACCTCTTTTACACTTGATTTTATTTGTGATAACAGTATTATGTACTTCAGGTATTTGTAATTGCAGCAATGATATGTATAGTGTATTTATACTTTCTTTTTATTTTATTTAACAGTGACTGAAGATGGCCATCTTGACACGTGTTGCAATGATAAACAGGCACTCGCCCTGTCTCGATCTTTAGATATGATGAAGATGTTTCTTGTGCGCTGTCCAGCATGCATGAGAAATATGCGCATACCCTTTTGCTACATGACATGCTCTCCACAACAAGCAGATTTCCTCGAGCCAGTCAAATATGATCCTGTAACAGTAGCACAAAAAGAAGGTACTAGTGATAATGTATGGCACTGTATTTATAATGTGAAGGTAATCACTTAATTGTGCAGCTCCTTTAGGACCTTAAATTTTTTATAATCATAGAGAAGCCAGATGTTATTGTTTGTTTTTGCTTGAACAAAGGACTACTGTACAATACAGTATTGTAATTGGGTACTTTTCACTCATTCTGCTATCCATCAATGCTATTAGCAACCTTGCTTGAACTAGCTATTGCCATGAACTATTTTATTTATTTTTTCCTAATTTCTTTAAATTGATTGTGAAGACACAGATTCCTCTTGGGTTTAGAAGTACAGGTATAGATGTAATGAGATGGGAAGGTTTCTTGCCCTGGTTTCTTGTCACTTGTCTTATTAATTGAGGTAAATACATTCCAATCCCTTGCAAATGTTGGCATCTGTAATACCCAATTTGCAGGTACAGGTACTGTACATTTTAACACCAAAAATTCACAATTACTGTACAGTACTGTGTGTGTGTGTGCCTCATCAAGATGAGGTAGAGTTAATAGGTTCCTTGTGAAACACCAATACCACTGGTGGTCCACTCACTTAAACACATCCATGTGTGGAGCAGGCAGTTGCGCGTTCCACCTGAGGTGCAGCACGGACCCGGGGTACATGCACAAAATATAGTACAGTACTGTACCAATTTGGATGGTTTCCATGTAATTAATTTAGAAGTGTGGTGGTGCAGTCATAATTTTGGCATACTTTAATTGCATATTCTGGGGGATTGTAGGTAAAATATTACAAAACTAGCGCAGCATTGGCATTTTGGTGTTTGTCTCCAGTGGCCACAGCCTTTCCTGGAGATCAGGTTCACCCTAAAACCAATACTTTGGCTCTTTAATCTTAAGCATGAAAGAAGCTCAGTTAGAGATGAGAATCACAGAAGAGGCCAGATTAGTTAACTAAGCTAAAATAGATTACATGTAGTATTTTAGTTATATTCATGGCTCACATGTTTTGAAGTGATGAAAAAATATTTTCATGGCATCTCAGGGCTTCCTGGTCACTTTATAAAAACAAAACAAAAAACAACATACAGTATTGTACTGTACTGAGAATGGTTAACTTTCTGACAGAATAGTAACCTGTTGCTAGAACAAGTCTCCAGGCCAAGGCAGTCTCACCCTAGAGGGGTCTATTGCAATGGAGTTTCAGTATCTTGATGACCTAGATGTAAAAAAGGTGTGGTTCTGTGTTTGCTTGATAAAGTCCTATATTACAGAGAAACATGAATTAATGTAAAAACAATATTTCAGGAAATCACACAGTTACAGATATGAAATTCTATCTATCAAAGGATTTTGTGGAAAAGGTTTATGCCTCCTGTAGAGATGTTGTTTCACCATCCACCAATGACAGAGTCATGGGTGAGTATTTTCTTGCATTGTTTTAAATAACTTTGTATATCAAGGCTAGATATACAGTACAGCAGTATAATATTCATTCTTGTGATTTGCATGTTGGTTGAGAAAATTTTATAAATGAACAGCTCATTGAATTCATAACACTGTTTTTGACTATATTGAGTGAATATTTAATATAATGTATACAGGACTTGATGTACAATTGTTAAATATTTCTTTTACTTCCAGGTTTGTTTTGTGGGCATTGGGGTGCTGCACGTTGCACTGGAGAGCGACTCTTTAATTATTTGGGAAACTATAACAACAATGTTCACACCCCAATAAACATCCAGTACCAGTACTTGAGAGACCTTGAAGAGAGTCCTGAGGGCATCTTACCTTTGAATCAAACTGCACAACCTTGCAATTTAGAGTTAGAGGTATGGTTGTGTTTGTTTGTTTTTATTATTGTGTATCCCACATTGAACAACAAAAATATGACTGTTTACTGTCAGCTGTTGTTTGTATATTTCTTCGGTTAATATTGACGACTGACCCGTCGCAGCGTAATTTGTTTTGGTGGATCTTTTCTTACTATATTTTCATTGCTGGGTTCAGATACTGTGTGGTATTCATTTCTTGGCAAATATTTTGTTTGGTAGGTAATTAGGCCTCTAGGCTTGCACTTGCGGTACTACTTCTTCTTTCTCGGCGATAAATCGGTATGGCAGCCTGATCCATGCTCATTGTTGTCCTCCACTCGGTGTTTGTGTATGAGCTGCTCGGTCTAAACGGCTTCTCTCACGCCCACAAAAAACGTGAAGTTAAACCCTATCATAGTAAGTTCTTTCTGTTTAATATGTAGGGGAGGCTTGGAAGTTAGGTAAGGTTAAGATGGTTTCCATGGTTAGGTTGGTGCGGTCTTTTAACAACGCGTTGGCTGTGTGTGTTTCTTATCAACTAAGGTTAGATTAAGTATAATTTAGAAATGACCCCATTTTAACACATTTGCCCAAACTACGATAGTGTCAACTGCAAAACACAGTGAAATTGCGGCATTTTTTACTTAATTTTCTATGAAAAATCTGCGACGGGTTTGTCATCTGTAAATACCATTTCTTCTTACTGGATTTGCCAGTATAACTATTTAATTTATATTTTGGTAATTTTTGTAGATTACTAAGAAATTTATATCATGTACTGTACTTTACTTGTTTGCCACCAGGGGAGTATAGCTTGCTCATGTGCTGACTGTCAGAGTTCATGTCCCATCATACCTGACACTTGGGATGCGCCTGGTGAACCGTGGATAATGTTTGGCTATGATGGCCTGGCTGTGGCAATGGCTCTTACTGCAGTCTTATTTTCTGTCACCTTCTTGGTGATATTTGCTTATTGCCACAAGCGGAATAAGAGATACACTGGTGAGTACAGTAAGAACATAGCTGCAACCCTTGAAGTTTTTTGTAGTTTAGGTATACCTAGTGTTGTGGTGTTAATGTATTTGTTGTTTATTAGTATGGGGTGGTTGTATGTACTCAGACTGCTTTTTTTTTCTTTTTTTTTTATTCAAGAAATCACATGGCAGAACTCTTTAGCTACTTTATATTTACATTAGATTAATGAATATTTCTCACAAATAATTTTTTTTCCTGTTAACTTTCATTATTTCACAGTGATAAATAGTACATTTCCACTGTATAGAAGTACTTTCAGGGAGGCATGAAATACTTGGATGGAGATACTTTTGCTTTGGTATAGCTTGACTGTTGAATAAATTTGCAGCTTTTTGCATGTTGCTTACTATCATAGATACTGAGCTTGATATAGTGCTGATCTTTGAGCAGGAACAGCACACACCTTTTTCAAGGAGATGTGTTATCACTTGATTTGCAAATTGCTTGCTTGTTTGGACAGTACAGGTATTTTATTTTGTGCTCCAATTACTGAGCGATGCAGGGTTATTAGATTACAACTGTTAAACTAAGAATTTGATATAGTAGAAGAAATTAAAATTTTGGTTCCCTGCCCAAGGGGCTGAATCTGGCAGTTTATGTTTTAATTTTTATTTGTATAGCAGGTCACACTGGTTCTTCAGGGTGGGGTAGGGTTTTGCTGTTATTCCAGCAGTGGTTCTTGTTTGATTGAGAAAGGTATTTATGTTGAAACATTATTTCTGTTTCTGGCTTAATCAGTTCTATGTACTGTACTGTACTGTAATTAGAAGATTTATAATCAGACCTAGCCTGTATGAATGAACATATAATCTTTTATTACTTAGATATGAATTCAAAGTGTTCCTGGGTTAAAGATGCTAAGATTATTGAATCTCCATGTAAGTGGGGTTTTTTATTTACTTTTTTTATTTAAGGATTTTGTTTGTTTTGGTTAATTTTAACAGTTAAAGTTAGGGAACAGATAACTGTTAATAGGATTTCATATTTCGATTTTGAATAATTTTTTCCTTTTGGGTAATGTTTTGTGTTAGCTTTCTCAGTTTTAAGCTTGATAAGGGATTTACTTGTGCTTGGTTTTACAGAAGCAATTTTCTGTTAAAGAATAATTTTTGTGTACTGATTGCAGACGAAGTAAAGGTGTTGATCTTCCTGATAAAAGTAGATAAACAACAGAAGACAATACCAGGTATAAGGCATTGATCCACTTTTGCAACAGCATCTGCATATATAAGCACCATGCTCTGTTGCATTGAGGCATGATATTCATTTGTGGAATACTTTTAAGAAGCCTACATGCAAATTTGTAATGTGCATATCTCCAGACTCTGTTGCAACTTGCATGATGGGTGTGATGCAAAATCAGAATACTGTATACAATACAATATACTGTATATATATATATATATATATATATATATATATATATATATATATATATATATATATATATATATATATATATATATATTTATATATATATATATCCTATTCAACTTACGACCTGCTTCAGTTGTAGCAAAATTTTGTCAAATTACGTATTTTCGAGTCCCAAAGTCAGTACACACACAAAATTTTCGTTTGTACAGTAATTCACTTTAAAATGGCTGGCAAGCTTAAAAGTGAGTGTTTTGTGGTGCTGAGAAGAAAAAGAGATGCTCATTTTAGATTTTCTTACGGCCATTTCGACTTAGGACCTGGATTTGGGTCCCTAACCCCGTCGTAAGTCGGGGGAGGATATATATATATATACTGTATATATATATATATATGCATTGCAGTACATAGTAATGGTGACTGAGTGGTTTGAAACTTTCTCTTGAAAATGTATAGTTGCATATAGTGTTTGGAATTAACTTTTAATAATTCCCTTTAACCTGTCAGTCTTTCCTTAAAGAAACAGTTTAATACTAATACAAGGTATCTCTCTGTAGCGGTGATGGTAGAACGTAGTATGCGAAACCCAGAAGAAATACGAACAGCTGTTGGGCGACGTCTAGCACATCTCTCTGACCCCCAAGCTCAGTTTGCTGGAGAAGATGAAAACTCTTTGCTTCATGGTAAGATCAACAACACGCTTTGTAAACCCTGATCAGCACCCAGCCTTTCTGACACTTCTAAATCTCTATCTTATTTCTGTATTTCTTATTCTTTTCATGCTATTCTTCCCATTTCTATATTGCTATCAAGCACACCATTTCTGTTGCTTCTAATTTACATCTTTCTCTTGCATCCAGAGTCTATGTTTCACTCTCATGTCATAGTATCGGCTTAATAATTCCTCTGTACACTCCTCAACTTTGCTTCTTTTGACTCACTTGTCTCTGTCCAGATATTTCTTAATGAACCTATTGCAGTACTTCCCTCCACTCTGCTACTCTATTATTCAACTGCTCACCCATTGTTCTATTATAAAGTACTGTTCCTATTTCTCGACAGGTCATATTTCACTCCACTTACATGGTACTGTTCTTTATTTCAGTTGTTTCTTTAAATTTTCATCACATATTCTTTCTTAGTCTCATTAACATTTATAACCCCTTTTCACTCTTCTTTCATTCTTCTTTGTCATTAACTTTCCAGTTGCTGTTTTCTTGTGTCTACCAAATAATGGTCCAACACTGTTCATCTTCTGTATCATTCTCCATTCCATTAATACATAGGGTATTCTAACAACCCTTTATTGTCGTGCCTACATGTACAGTACACTTTTATTAAGCCATATGCTCTTTGCTTAAGATTTAGATTGAATTAATAATCGAACTTCTTTTTCTTTGTGACATATTCCTTTACACCTGGGGAAAAACAAATGCATGTAATCTTACAAATTAAACTATTTTGGAGTTTATATTTTCATCCATTGTCTCTTCAGGACGTCCTACTACAGAAATGCCAGAGGTTGTAATGCATGATGAGCTCTCCATATTTGAGCGCATCACAAACTGGACACAGACGACTGTAGATCATCTTTTTACCAAGTGGGGCACGTGTAAGTTATCATTACAATATGTATTGAAGTTACTCGAGAATTTGATGCAATTTGAAATTATATTTTGTAAGATTTTGATTGTCAGATTTTAAACTTTATAAGTACTGGCTTTGGTAAGTTTCTTATTGAAATATATAATGATCTTCTCTAAAACATTAAATTGTTTACTTATTTTTTATTCACTTATATATTCCATGAATAATATGGAAGTGAATTTTCTAAAGTGATATCTGGATTAAAGAAGTACCTGTACTTCTATTTTCAGTATGTGCTTATCACCCATGGAAGGTGATGGGGATTGGCCTGATTGTGGCTGCATCATTGTGTGTTGGCATCATCTTCCTACAAATTACTACTGATCCCGTGGACTTGTGGGCTGCTCCTAATTCACGTGCTCGCATTGAGAAGGACTATTATGATGAGAATTTTGAGCCTTTCTATCGTACTGCCCAAATTTTCATTCGTCCAGTTGGCATTGAAAGCGTAAGAATTTTTATTTATTTATTTATTTTTTTCTCCCAATGCACTACTTTAGGTCTGGAGATCTTTGAATCAATATGAAATTGATGAGACAATTAATTTTTTGGTATTCAGCTGTTGGTGATGGGTAGACCCCCTCCTACCTTGTGGTCAAAATTGATGACAACCATGTTAAAGATGCTAATAAATAATATATGAAAATATATGGTTACTGATTTTATTAGCTACTGAAAGTTGTAATAGTATGCCAAAGTAATTGTTTTGCAGTTTGAACTGGATGGTGACACCTTTGGCCCAGTGTACAACAAGACCTTCCTCCTTGAAGTCTTAAGATTTCAAAACTACATTACAGAAGAGGTAGGTTATTAAGTACAAATGAATGACTTCTAGTAGCAAGATTAACCTCAGAACCCTTAGAAGTTTTCATACAAACAAATACAAAGCCTTGTTTTCACTTTTAACAGCAGTTTCAGCCATTTCAATTTCTTTTCACTTTTTCACATCAGGTACTGTTGTGTACATATACTGTATTAGACATGTGAATTTTTTTTTTGGTATTTTGCCTCCAATATCTTTTATCACTTTGTAACACTCCCCTGTGCACACATGCACAGGGAGTATTTACTTGTAAGCAAGAGAAGTGTGGGTGTGCAGGGAGTAAGAGAAGTGTGGGTATACTTGGCAGAGACTTTGAACATGTGATTCTGAGAGATGGTGTTATGAAGACTTAGTTTCTCTTAATCCCAATATTTGTTTTAATGTCTTACTATTGAATTTCATTCTATAAACATGTCTTTGTTCACTTATTTCAGATGGTAGCAGAGGTTAATGAGAAAAGTGTGTACCTGTTTGACATTTGTAACAAACCTCTTGCCCCTGACAACAACAACTGCAACATCCAGTCTATACTTAATTTTTGGCAGAATGATGAAGCTGTATTCAATAAATCAAATGAGCAACATGCAAACTTATGTATTGGGTGAGTATGGCAGTTCATTGAGGGAAGTTTTGTTCATCAGCCTTCTTGGTATTTTACCTTGCACTTTATTTGTTCACGTGTGTACACATTATAGCACAAAAAAGGGTGTATTATATTGTAGTATTACCTTCATTTATGGGTAATTTTCATTTAATTATAGAGTTTTGCCCATTAAGTTCTCAATTTTTCATTAGTTTTTGATGGATTTATTAGGAATGCTTTTTTTCATTTATAATTTATGCAAATCAAATTCCAGATGTGATGTATTCATATTCAGTGATGACTTTAATACATCCCTTTAAGTAACATAATTATAATATAGCCAACGGATATACAGTACAGAATATTTTCATTATCAAACTGTCACAATCATTCGTTCCACTGACCACTAGAATACCTCTTCCCAGGTACTGTACCTAGTATAATATTGCAAGTATGATCATTGACAAGTCAGATTTAAAGTAACTACTGTATTATAAATGCTATAGGTAAAAAGGATATAAAAAGATTTTTAAAGAAATATTATAAATATTCTTGAGGTATATCAAAAGATAGGAATATGTGGTTAACAGATTTGTTTTCCTCACACAGAAATGCATACCAGGAGCATTGCATGGGATCATATGGTGGTCCTGTTCTTCCACATGTAGCTCTTGGTGGATTTCTACAGTCAAATGAAACTCTGTCTGATGACCCAGACTATTTAAAGGCAAATACCCTTGTCATCACATTGCCTATCAACAACTTTTTCAACAAATCATTGCTCAAACCTGCTCTGGCATGGGAAAAAGTGTAAGTAGTGAATTACTGTGTATACTTGATGATTGTAATATGCAGTGCTTTTATATATATATATATATATATATATATATATATATATATATATATATATATATATATATATATATATATATATATATATATATATATATATATATATATATATATATATATATATATATATATATATATATATATATATATATATATATATATATATATATATATATATATATATATATATATATATATATATATATATATATATATATATATAGGTATTACTAACGCGGTTTCACTTAACGTGTTTTATCATATACGCGGTGCCTCGCCAGAGCTGAACTTTCACTTAACACGGATTTTTTCCACATATACGCGGTGAGTGTCCGGCTCGAGACGCTATTTTTAGATTTGCCCCACCCGCCACCCTGCCTGACTGCCTGTTTTAGCTCATAAAATTCATACAAATTACCCGGCCAGAATATAATTTACATTGCTGGAATTCTTATAATTTGGTGATCATTTTGAATATAAACATCATATATTTTGCATTAGACATACAATTTTTAGATAAAAATTTTTCTCTAGGTAACTATGTTATCTTTTGTGCAAAATATATGACATTTATATTCAAAATATTCCTGGTCTTACAAGGAATCCAGCAATGTCAATTATATTATCCTAACTTTAGTTTGAGGTATTATTTATTAAAATTTAGTGGTTATCCCACACATCTCCTTGGGACGGTTGGTGGGGGGTGGGGGGGAGGGAGGGACCGACCGACCATCTGTTACCCCGTGAAGAATTATTTATTTTTTTATTAACTGAAGATATTTGTTTTAGCTCATAAAATTCATACAAATTACCCGGTCAGAATATAATTTACATTGCTGGAATTCTTATAATTTGGTGATCATTTTGAATATAAACATCATATATTTTGCATTAAACATACAATTTTTAGATAAAAATTTTTCTCTAGGTAACTATGTTATCTTTTGTGCAAAATATATGACATTTATATTCAAAATATTCCTGGTCTTACAAGGAATCCAGCAATGTCAATTATATTATCCTAACTTTAATCTGAGGTATTATTTAATACTAAATGTTAAAAACTCTGGAAGGGAGGATTGGTGGGGGGGGGGGGAGGGTTGGGACTGACCGCGCGGTTGGAAGAGGGGGGGAGGCAAGGTGGGGTACTTTGATTGACAGATAGTGTCGTGAAGATTATTTTTTTTTTTATTAACTGAAGATATTTGTTTTAGCTCATAAAATTCATACAAATTACCCGGTCAGAATATAATTTACATTGCTGGAATTCTTATAATTTGGTGATCATTTTGAATATAAACATCATATATTTTGCATTAAACATACAAATTTTAGATAAAAATTTTTCTCTAGGTAACTATGTTATCTTTTGTGCAAAATATATGACATTTATATTCAAAATATTCCTGGTCTTACAAGGAATCCAGCAATGTCAATTGTATTATCCTAACTTTAGTTTGAGGTATTATTTATTAAAATTTAGTGGTTTTCCCCCAAAAATTTCTCTGAGAGGGAAGAGCCGGCAGTGTAGTGTGAGAGGGGGAGGGAGTTGAGTCCATTATTTGAATGGACATTAACTTGGCGACTGTATTTCTCTATTTCTCTTAAGTATTAATTGTGTGCATGTACCATCATAAAATTAAGATGTTATTTTTACTACAACATAGGTATGTGCCTTCAAAAAGTGGAGTTTGGGGGTCGGGCCGGTTTCTATTGGAATTAATCCCATATGTTCTGTTGTTCACTTAACGCGGATTTCACTTAACGCGGGACCCTCTGGGTTCAATTGACCGCGTTAAGTGGGGTACAACTGTATATATATATATATATATATATATATATATATATATATATATATAGTATATGCTATAACGAATCTAATTGGTTCTAGAACCTTGTTCGTTATAGCATTCGTTCGGATTAATCCTATAGGATTAATCCGTTCCGGGCCCCCAAATACAACCACTTAACACTGAAAAATATAATATAAAATTGTAAAAATTGTAAAAAAGTGCATAAATATGCATCTAAACCCCTGAAATAAAGAATATCATTAATACTTGTAATAAAAAAACAATAAATTAGTATTAAAAAAAAAATTTAAATGTTCGTTGTAGGAGTTTCGTTTGTTATAGCATTCTCAATTTTATACGTAAAACCGTTCGTTATAGGAATATTTGTAGTAGGATTCGTTCGTTATAGCATACCCCACTGTATATATATATGAAGAGTAATTATTGTTTCTCATTGTTAATAAGATATAAGAGTGTCGGAGAATGAATACTGTAGATGAGAATTGTATATTAAAATAGATGCATGGAAATTGAAGTGTCTTTGATGAATGTTTTGTCAAATACAGTAATCAATTTAATGAGAAAAGTGAACACAGTAGTGTTCAGTGAAGCCATCAAAGAATGTGGACTGGTTAATGCACTTTGCACCACTAAACAATGTAATATATGGATTTATATCGGTGACTATCTGGGATTAAGGTAAAGTTGGTATACTGCTCAAGAGAGAGTCTGTACACTATGTGGGTGTGAAGTAATGTGTGTAGCTGTAATTAATTTTGCTATACTGTACTGTAGTTTAAGAATGGTAGTTTATCTAGAAAATAATCAGTATTATATAGATTTTATGGATTATATTGGAACAAATTGAAAAACAAATATTTTTTGTGATTGTCTGATCATACTGGAGATCACTGGTGATTGCTAATGTAATTTTTCCTTGCAGATTCAATGAATATATGCTCAAGTACTCTCACCCCATGATGGACATAGCTTTCCGCTCTGAGCGATCCATTGAGGATGAACTGGAACGAATGAGCAAGTCTGATGTTCCTACTGTCATTATATCATATATTATTATGTTCCTCTACATTGCACTGGCACTGGGACACACCAACCAACTTACTCGCCTCTTGGTAAGATGACACTTGAGGGTTTTTTTAGAATAAATTCTCATGTATTAGTCTGTGCAAGTTGTGACCTGTAATATATGATCCATATACTGTACATATAATGGTAAATATTATGTGGTAGGAGATAAATTTTTTCATGAAAAATTACCATTTAATTTATTTCAGATCTCCACAAAAGTAACTCTTGGCCTGGGAGGTGTTCTCATTGTGCTGGTGTCAGTGTTTGCGGCCATTGGATTTTATGGTTACGTGGGGGTACCTTGTACAATGCTTATCATTGAGGTAAAGGCACTCTTTTTACACACACACACACACACACACACACACTGTGTTGCTCTAAAACAATGTATATTTAGTTCTGATATATTTTCCATCTAGACATTTCCTGCATTTAGCCAAAAATGAGACATAATATTACACAGTAGTGAGTTTTGATCATGATAGACCTCTAGTATGCTAAAAATATATATTTCTCTGTCCAGGTGATCCCATTCTTGGTACTGGCAGTAGGGGTTGACAACATCTTTATTCTTGTGGAAGCGTATGCTGGGTTGGACCGCACGGAAGAAGACACACGGCCACAGCTGATTGGTCGAGCTGTTGGGGCTGTTGGCCCCTCTATGTTGTTGTCTTCAATTTCTCAGTCATGTTGCTTTTTCTTGGGTTAGTTGACAGATTTATAGATATTTATTTAGTAATTAAGTGTTGTATATTGATTTACCATGTCTATAGACAATATTCATAAATGTATAGTCCGCCGAAAAAGTATCATTTGCCATGGGGTCGGTGTGATTCTAGGCTTTCCGAGCATTGTTACTCAACCTGTTTCTGAACGGTTAGTAGTTCTACATCTGCATGAATGAATATACAATAAACTATTTTGAACAATACATATATTAATATATAGCTTAATGGATTTATTGTTATATTGAAATTCAGTAGACCCTTGTGATTCGCGATTTCAGCGACATGCTGTAAGCAGATGGTGGCTAGCTTGCAAGCCTTTTCCCGCAGCACAACGAGTCACTCCACGCAACATCTCGTGTTGTACTCTCAATACTCTCGCGAATGGCAAGGGTCTACTGTACAGTATCTCGTACGCCATACAAGGAAGACTTCCTTCCCCAATCCTACCCCCATCTCTAGTTGTTGCTGATATGGCAAGCAGGCATACCAACTTATGATGATGCACTGAGGATCATATGAAAGTATTTTGTCTCGTGTTTCAAATTGTAGAGATTGAAAATCTATACTTTTTTGTGGAGACAGTACATAGACAGTGCAGGTGTGCAACCAATGTTAAACAGTAAATCAGTTCAATAAGAAAATCCCAACAAAGCTCTTTATCATATGTATATTTTCAGTAAGGTCATTTGCTGGAATATTTTGGTGTACAGTATTTTTATTTATTTATTTTTTTTATTTTTTTTCAAGCTATAAATGTTGTTGTTTTTAGTTTTCATTAACCCTCTTGAGTGCTATGAATGACTAAGGATTTTATTCTGGCTAACACCAGACAATTTTGTTCAGCTAAGGGGAACCTTTAGCAGTCAGGGTTAATCTTATCTCCATTAATATTATAGAGTGATAGAAATGACAAAATAATGAGTTTTTCACTTGCAGGTGCTCTCTCTGACATGCCAGCTGTGCGAGCATTTGCAATGTATGCTGGAATGAGTTTGTTGATCAACTTTGTTCTTCAGATGACACTCTTTGTATCACTCTTCTCCCTCGATGTCACCAGAGAAGAGGTAAATGTGCAGATTTTTAAGATGCTATGTAGTGATAATATATTGATATGTATTGATTGAAGTGGGAAGTGTGATTGGTTTTTTGATACAATAGCATTGAATATTTTTTGGAGAAGGATCTAGTAATGGATGCTGCTCTTCAGTTTTGTGAAGTGACTGATAATCCAAATGGATATTTAGGGCCTTTTTGTGGAAGTAAAAATAAATGGATGACAGCAAATGAAAAGAGAATCTGTGAGTGTTAATGTGTTCTTAATTCTGGAAATGGGTCAGAAGAGAACTTGTTTGTTTGATTAAGTGAATTAAGATACATGTAATAAGTTATTTACATCTAATACTTAACACTTGAAATAACAAATAAACATTAACTTAATTCATAGCATTTTACACAATATAGCCCTGCAACGAGGAGAAAATTTTACCTTTTTGTTATTGTATTTTTTTTTTTCAGGAGTCATATAGCAGTAAAATATAATTCTTAAAATTTTTCTGCTTTTTTAGGACAATCGGTTTGATGTCTGTTGCTGCATACGGCAAAGCAAAGTGCAGAGGGACTCGGATACCCGGTTCTTGCACAAGGTAGCTATTGTAACAGTGATGTGTTAAATCATTAGATAACATCAAGCAAGATTTTAATTATAGATCTTGGTAAATGTTTGACGGTTGACCAACTGTGTAATCCATATTTATATTTACCGTATTTTATATTGTATATTTATGCAGTGATATACTGTAAAGTGAAAATTCTTCTAGATCACATCAAAAGTGATTACAATTATTCATATTGAGTGTTATTCCGAAACTACTCTCTCATTTATTCAGATAGTTTTCAATAAATTGCATCAACTAACCTTTTATATGTGTCACTTTTGCTTCCCTTAATATTTTTTCTTCTCTTTCTGTCCCTTTTTATGTTGGAATATTCTTTATTTTTGGTTAAGTAGAGTTAAATGAATCTTAATATTCTGTTGTGTACATTCCAGGTATTTGAAACTACCTATGCACCTTTCCTCATGCGTCCATGGGTTCGCGCAGTGGTAATAGTTGTCTTCATGTTTTGGCTGTGTGCGTCTGTGGCAATGGTTCCCCACATTGAAGTTGGTCTTGAGGAAGAGCTCTCTATGCCTGATGACTCATATGTGTTGAAATATTTTGAGGTGAGTAAAATATTTAGATATTAATTTTGAAGCCTCTGAAATTTTGTTTTTGTGAATTTAATTTCACAGTCTATCACTCACTGTAGTACAGCACAGTATTAGTGAACAGATTATATCGTGGGTCTCTTGTAAACTTATTAATGTCTCTTTTTCTTTGTTTCTTATATTATTAACCCTTAGACTGGTTATTGGTGAACCTGCTTGCCGTTGTACATCTTATGCAAAAAAACATGCTTCAATTCTATTGTTATCAGTTGGTGTTTTATGTTTTCGTGCTGTGATTTAAATTCTGCATGGCTTGACGTCACTCTGGGGATGTCCTGCAATCAGCTGGGTATCCTCAAATGGATATCTCTTTCCCCCCATTGACCTCTCACAGTGGAGGTACGAATTGTAAGCGCCCCACATATCGTACACCACCAGAGCTTGCTCTGAACTTCTCACTGATGGCAGATAAACATCAACTGTTGCCATGAGGTTGCTAAGCCAGTTGATATAGTTGAGATTAACCAAAGTCTGGACCGAGGGTTCACTTTGCATATTATAGTCACATACTGGTTATCAGAGGTCTTAGAAAACACATCGTCCTATCCTTTAATTTTACATTTTAGGTGATTTTATCAAATTGTCCTCAACTTGTAACAAATTCAGGAGGGAATTGCTTAATGCCACTAATCCCAGTCTGAATATGGGTAGTGTTCAATTGTATAACTTCCCTTCAGCTTTAAACCTGATTATTTTTTATTTCTTTTATATAAAATATTATTAAATATACTGTAGATGTTAAAGAAATACAGTATTAGAAGTACACCTGTACTATGAAGAGGAAGTTAGGAATTAGTTAAATATTTAAAATTCCAAATAGAAAACTTGTATAGCTATAGATTGTGAATCACTAGATATTATAGGATTTTATTATTTTGTGTGTACAGTAGTTTCTTTTGTACCCTTTCAAACTTTGTGAGTGCACCCCAAAGATTAAAAAGAAAAAAAGATGTAGTAGATTTATATGGATAATTTAAATAATTTATTATCTTTTTCCAACAGTATCTTGAGAAGTTTGGCTGTGTTGGTGCTCCTGTGTACTTTGTTCTCAAACATGGATACAATTTCTCTGATTATGATATGCAGAATAAGATTTGTTCACATCTTGGCTGCAATAAAGATGCAATGCTAATTCAACTGAAGTTGGCATCTCAAATTCCAAATAGGTAATGCTGGATTATTATTGTTTGTATGTGTGGACGTGTACTGATACTTCATTTAATTTCTCCTTTTCTAACTTTTCTTCCAATTTTGAAGGTCTGTTGGCCATTCCTTTTACTCAGTTGGTTAGGTTTCCACGTGATCATAACATCAATGGTTTTGCTTTTCATTTTATCACCCATTCTTAGTCTTTACTCTACATATATCATACCTCTTTTAGGAAACTAATTTGGTTTATTTGAAGTTTATGAGCTATTTTGCATCTAATGACCTTTATTTCAATACTGTACTAGTATTTTGTCTAATTTCTTTTTAACACTCATGATTTCTCAGTACTCCCCATCTCTCTTTGAATTACTGTACCTGTATTACTATTTTTAGGAAATTAAAGAATAATTGTAGGAGGATTTCCAGTAATTTATTGTGCTAAGAAACCACACAAGGATTAAAGAAACACAAAACAACACATGTATTCCTGGTTCTTACTTCAGCTGAGGATAGTGCACAGATAGCCTAAGGGGATCACCAAGATTTATTAACTCGCAGGCAGTGAATGTGGGTGGGTAGTGCCTGGGCCAGGAGACAGAATCCGGTTGTGCCTGTACCATTATGTCAGCTATAAAATTATCCCGATGAAGAGGAGCATGTTTTTCTCTGGGAATGATACTAGTTTGGAATGGCAACAGTGTAGGATTGAATTAATAGGTCAGCTGATGCCATGGGAGCTGGGGAATTTTTTAAATGCACTGACAACAATTCCATCAATCTTACTGCTGACTCACTGTGCTACTGTTGTATAAAACTGAGTCCTCATGAAAAGGTGTTAAAACAAAGTACTCTACAGTAGACCCTCAAAATTTCTGGTTTCTGACCTCTAGTATTTGCAGATTTTCCACACATCTTTGGGGCAAAACAGTTATCTTAAAATATGAAAAATGTCACTTCCCAAAATTTAATTTCTTATAACAGTAAAACCACATTTACTTCCCATATGTATACTGTACTGCTTTCAAATTAACAAAAAAAAAATCTGAGAATTTCTCAATTTTTACATAATTATTCCACATAACATTAACGCAAATGTTTTCATCAAGTTAACCTTTGTGCCATGTTGAATTCCTTGTTTTGACATTAAAAATTAACAAGTTTAAAGAATCACCACTTAGAATACTGTACTTTAGTTTTACTACTGTACGTACTTGAAATTCCTTTGCAAAATCAATAGAAATCCAGTTGTCTTCATAATACAGCAATAATAAATAAGTCTTGAGACATTGATACCATGTGCATTGAGGAGGCAATTGCTGCTCGCTTGAACTCTGTTATGTATTAACAGTCGAAAATCATTTTCAGCAAATAAAATGGCGTTCACTTCCCATATTATACCACATTCAGATTTACAAAAAAAAAAATTATCAGGTTAATTTACTTTTTTACATTATTCTTTACAGTCCTGTACAGTATTACGATAAGGTAAATTTTCACTATCAATTTAACCTCTGTGCTGTTTTTAGTAAGTTATATTCCATATTTTGACATTAAGGAATCGAATATTAAAGAACCACCACTTAAAATACTGTACAATACTTTAAATTAAATCCCTAGAGATAATGATATCCTTATAGTAAATAATAAACAGGACTCGGGACAGTGATGCCATATGCATTGGCAAAATAAATACTGGACTCCTCACCTGAACATGGGCTTAACTTAATTTGATGTAGGTTCTTTGAGTTAGAACATCTGACGTAGCTTCCTCTTACCCAAAACACACTGTTTTCGTGTGTAATTACAGTCGCCCTTATTCATGGCATTTAAGAGGAAATGTAATACAGTAATCCCCCGTGGTTCGAATCCTGGGGTTGAGGTATTGATTGTATGTAGAAGTCCGCGTGCTTTATTGGGCTAATGATATATATATATATATATATATATATATATATATATATATATATATATATATATATATATATATATATATATATATATATATATATATATATATATATATATATATATATATATATATATATATATATATATATATATATATATATATATATATATATATATATATATATATATATATATATATATATATATATATATATATATATATATATATATATATATATATATATATATATATATTTAGAGCTAGACCCCGACTTACGACTGGGTTAGGGACCCAAATCCAGGTCGTCAGTCCGAACGGTCATAAGTCCGACATAGATAAAAAATAAATAAAATAAAATAAATAAATAAATAAAAAATCTACAATGAAATACAGTACAGTAAAAGTAATAAATAATGAGGAATGGATACAGTACAGTGAAAGTAATAAATAATGAGGAATGGATACAGTGTGACTGAGCACTTACCTTTAATGTAGTCAGCTGAATGCACATGGGGCCCCCATAATTTTCTAATTATACATGGAGACTACATTAACTGGAAACCTTTCGGTATAGAAATTGCATGTGTCATTTGAAGAAAAAAAAATGGTCACAACTGCGGCGGTAGTAAGTCCCGACGGTCGTAAGTCGAAGCAGTCGTAAGTCGGGGTCTAGCTGTATATAATAATAAAAATAATAATAAAAATAAATAAATGATAAATAAATTAAAATTAAATTAAAATTGAAACATCCTCAAACCCCTGGATGGTAGATTAGATGCAGAAAAGATGACCCTCCGAGTGGCCAAATCATGTGGGAGAAGGCTATGCACTTGTTTGGGCATCTGGTGCAACCATCACTGACATGTTTTTAGAGCACTTTTGCTTCATATACTGTATTTTAAATGAAATACTGTATTGTCCTTATGCCATAAGCCCCGAGTTCTGTATCAGTATTTGCAGTTTTACGATTTGCTTTGATCTTAGGGATGTAAACCCCACCAACACTGAGGGTCTTCTGAACTTTCAATTGATTGATTTTTGGTTTAGGTACATTGACATTTTATTTATAATGATTATAACTGTGCTATCATAAGAAAACTTTGTTTAGCAAATAATATATGTTGTCATTGATATTTCAGAACATTCATTGCTGTGCCTTCGAGTGCATGGATTGATGATTACTTTGAGTGGTCATTAGAAGGAAAATACTGCTGTCGTCTCCATAATAATGAAAGCTTCTGCAGGAGAGAGCCAGAAGATGATATGAGATTAGATGACCCTGATTTTGATACACCTGATGATCAAGTTGTAGTAACAGAAGAACCCATTACTTATGGCGGACCAGACTTTGATGAAGTCTATAATGATAATGAGAACTATGATTACAATTATGGGGACTTAGAATATGACTACTATTCAGATGGTACTGCCAAAAAGAAGCTAAAGCCAACTAAAGTACATTCAGTCATTGGTGATGTTTATAATTATGATTATACCTATGGAGATAAAAGTATCGATTATGGTGATGATGACGATAAAGTGGTTCCTATTACAAAAGCTCCATCTCGCCAAACACATATGGATGATGGATGGCCAGACTACAATGAGGATCCTATAACTTCCACATCAAAACCTAAGCATGAGGACAACAAACCAATAAAGAAAAATATTAGAAAACGCAGAAACTCACCAAATGCCTGCCACTCGTGTCCCATCTCTCCACTTGCCAACAACCCTTTCCGCCCAGACCCTGAAGTGTTCAACCAGTATCTTCCAATGTTCCTGAAAGATAACCCTGACAAGTATTGCCCTAAGGCAGGACATGCTGCTTATGGTCAGGTTAGTAATACCAGTCATGCATTTCAAAGCTGTCAGTTGTTTTGCTGAAGTGTAGAAAAAATTTTTCCTCTGAATCATTAATAATTCAGTCAGGTGGAGCAATGAAATCATCACAGCCCTCCAAGTTCACCTCTTATGATCACACATGTTAACTGTGAATTTAATCAGGGTTTATATCAAATCATTTTCATTCATTACCAAACAGATTTTCCATTACCAAATTGCTGCCGGATTAAAGGAAACACACTGTACCTACAGAAATTAGAAAGCAGTACAGCTGCTCCTCGACTTACGATGGGGTTAGGGACCCAAATCCAGGTCGTAAGTCGAAAATGCTTAAATTATACATAGAAAATCTAAAATGTGTGTCTCTTTTTCTTATCAGCACCACAAAACTCTCACTTTTAAGCTTGCCAGCCATTTTAAAGTGAATTACAAACGAAAATTTTGTCAGTACACAGCGCAATCACTAACGTTGGGACTCGAAAATACGTAATTTGACAAAATTTTGGTACGACTGAGGGGGTCGTATTTCTGGGTGATCGTAGGTCAAGTATGTCGTAAGTCGAGGAGTAGCTGTACATTAATTTGTTTTGTAGACAGAATTTTATCGAGCAAAAGATGTTGAGATAATAGTCCAATTAAATTTTTTTTTTATAGGAATAGATGTAAGTTATAAATAATATTGCATATTGTAAGTAATAAAGACTTATAAATATGATTTTTAATGATATATTGGAAGTTCAGGAAATCATTGGTAGGTTTAGTATGACAGTCAGGACTTGATATTAGTAAGAAGTCTTTATCCTGAAGGAGAATCTTATTGTTTAACTAATAAATTAAGTTCTTTACTTGCAAATTCAGTGGGAAAAAAATAAAGAGGTATTCCTTTTTTGAGCAGCCATATTGATGAAAAACTGGTGTGAAGTTTTAGGTAATGTACTTTTGTATCATAACCTGACCTGAACTATGGTTGACTTCACCATCTTATTTTCCTGGTGGTAGATTGAACATGGATTCACTTTTATTTGTTTTGTAGAATTAAGAAAGTGCCTCATTGTTACTGATATTTAGTTCTTCCCTTAACCCTCAGTTTGTAGATTAATAAATCCCAATCCTATTAATGTCTCAGTGTTTGAAGTGATTATTGTATACCTGGATTTAATTTTCCCAGAATTACTAATTCATTAAAAAAAATTTTTTTTGCACCCCAGGGTGTGAAAATACGCTATGACGAGTCTGGGAATCCTGTGACTGGAGCAAGTGTGTTTATGACTTATCACACAGTCATGCGGAATAGTAAGCAATTCTATGAGGCTCTACGTGCAGCTCGGGCCATAGCAGACAATATTACTCGAACACTAAACCTTGTGGAGAAAGATGGAAAATTAGTGCCAAGTGGAGAAACAAAATATGAAGTGTTCCCATACAGGTGAGTTGTTAGTCAATTTGCATTTATCCTTTAATAGGTACTTTTTAGCATTCTATATTTTTCATTCCCTTAATCATGTAAGCCCTTTATTATTATCTCTTTATTTGCTGTTGTCCACTCACTCATAACTGCTGTAATTTTCCCATAAACTACTCAACAACTTGCTCTCATAACACTTGCTGTATACTGATGTTTGCCGGTTGTGCTTTCCCCCTTACTTATAGTGACTTTTTACCCTCTTGATTTTCCCCATTCCTTCCAACCATATATTTTTTTAATAATAAACTCTTTATTATCACTCTTTCATTTTCCAACTCTTTATTATTACTCTTTCATTTTCCATTTCTTATTCTTTACATCTTGTTCATCCAGTTCAAGTGTAATCTCGATAATGAGGGGCACTTAGGACCCACCAGTAACCTTAAGCGATTTTATAAATTTGCCCAATTTTTTTTTTATTTAAATGGATACTCTCAAAATATTGGCAGAAGAAAATTTCATTTGATATGAGGCATATATAAAGCTTACACAGACCAAACATAACTGAAAGATGGCAGTTACTGGTTAAACAAAGATGATGTTATTTTTCTTAACTTGCCTTCCCTTACTGTTTCTTGCCTTTTGTTATGTTTATGTTTCCCTTGATTCATTCCATGTGTGTGTGTGTGGGAGTAAAGGAAAGATAACATGGACAGAATTTTTTAGAGGTCCATAGAAATTTGTATCTGCTTTTTTTATTTTCAAAAAGCCTTTGATAGGGTAAAACACAACAAACATATTGATGTCTTGGAAAAAGTGGGCATTAAAGTAGGAGATAATAGAATTTTAAAAAGTCTTCACTGGCAACAGCAGTGTTAGTAAATAATGAACTTACTAATTGGTTCAAAGTTATACAAGGAGTAAGACAAGACTGTGTTCTATCTCCAAAATTGTATAATATATGAGAGGAGTGGTAAGTAACAATGAAGAAGTAAAAGTTAATGGTAAAGTACAGTACAGTAATATCAAATATACACTATGCAGATGATACCATTCATAACACGGATAGTGAAGAGGAAAAAAAAAAACAGGTTAACAGATTAGTGGAAAAAGGCGAGAATTATGGGTTTAGAAATCCATCTGCAAAGACGAAAGTAATGTTTGTTTCCAAATTGGAAATGTATCCTAAAAAAAATTATGGTAGGCAACAAGGAACTGATACAAGTGGAAAATTTTTGTATTTGGGAAGTGACATTAGCTGTGGTGGGAGAAGCGTGAAAGAAATCAAAACATGAGTAGTCAAGCAAAAAAGCATTTAATAATCTGAAAGATTTCCAGTAATAAAAGGGAATACTGAAATGCTCTGTACTGTATACTGTACTCAGGTCTGTTGTATGGGTCAGAAGTGTGTACATTTTCAGCAACACCTGAAAGATGTGATAGGCATTTAAAATATGGTGTTATAGGAGAATGTTAAAATTAATTTACACTGACTAAAAAACAAATTAAGAAGTTCAAATATTGGCAAAAACTTCCAAGTGAAATACTTGAAATTTATAAAATAAGGAAAAGGGGATATTGGGGGATATAATTAGGGATGGGGGAATAATGACAGGGAAGGCAAAGACTGATGGATGATTTAAATTAAAACTGGGATTTCCATAGAGATCCAAAGTCTCCAAGTATTGGTAAAAACAGTCCCAAAACGATTAGAGTGGAGGACTGTGGTTGCCAACCCTTAGATATGAGGAGGATTGATTGACTGACCCATCGAATAGTTTATTTTATATAAATATCTATCATCTTCCAATCTTTGACTACTGGAATGCAACAGATGAATGAGCCCCTCTTGACCAAGCTTTTAGCACTTGCATGAAGAATTTTAAATTCTTCTGATAAGTTACTTTTCTCCCTCCCTTTATTTTTAGAAGTTGCCAGTTATGACACAGAGTATGTTAAGGATTTAGTCCCTATGTTGAATTCCTCTTTCCCCACTCAAAGATATTTAAAGACCATATTTTATTTTCTGTCTGGTAATGCTCCTCTTGCCATGCAACTCCTTATACTGCTGTTACTTAATACATTATTGGGGTTATATGATCCTGAAATGCTAATTAAATTTATAAATTTAAACAAAATATGATTGTTTAGGCAAGATTTTAAATCTTTTCCAGTATTATTTTGCAATTTACATTCTAAGAATTTTTTTTTACTTAACAATGACTTACAGGACTATGTGAAATTTTACATTTATTCTTTTATGTATGTATGTGATGTATCTCAGTTATAGAGTGAGAGATATTATTTTTAACGCTAATGTGTGGGACTTTTCTATTTTTTTCAGCGTGTTTTATGTCTTCTATGAGCAATACTTGAACATCTGGGAAGACACAGTGCGGATGCTAGGGATCTCCGTGGTTGCAGTGTTCTGCATTACACTGATAATGATGGGCTTTGACTTTGCCTCTTCACTCATTATCATGGTCATGGTTGTACTTATCATCACCAACATGGGTGGTCTGATGTACCTCTGGGATATTTCTCTCAATGCCATCTCCCTTGTAAACCTCATTGTAGCCATTGGTATCTCAGTCGAGTTCTGCTCACACACTACCAGAGCGTTTGCTGTCAGTGAAGCAGACACCAGAATTGTCAGAGCAAAGAGGGCTTTGGTACGCATGGGTCCATCAGTGCTGTCTGGTATCACACTCAGTGACATGGGTGTTGTAGTTCTTGCCTTTGCCAACTCCAAAATATTCCAGGTAATATAATATATTTTTCTTCCCCTTTGTTTACAATATAAAGAGAATACATATCAGGTCTGAGATTTTTCTGGACCGGTCAAGATTTCTGGCTTTCAAGTTGTTCTGGGTCATTTCTGAGATTCATGTAAATTCACTGAGAAAATTTAGGGGTAAGGGGAATGAATCATTTTCAGGACCAGCAAAATTTATCAAATTCCAGGCCTGAAATGTAAGTGTAGTACATTTTTTTAGCAGGGCACTAGTTAGTAATGTAGTTTATTGCTACTGCTTAGGTACTGAATATGCACAGCTTTCACCTTTCATATGCTTATACTTTAGGAAATATTTGGATACTTTTATATATATGAAGATAGCTTATGCTTCATCTGGAGTTGTGTATTGTTCAGAATACTAGTTGTATGTAAGTGAGGGTTTTATATCTTTTATCAATGATTTACTTATCTGTTGTTAATTTTCAGGTATTTTATTTCCGGATGTATTTTGGCATGGTGGTGATTGGTGCTCTTCATGGATTAATACTTCTGCCAGTTCTTCTTAGTTTTGTAGGTGGGTATTATGATTTGTTTAAGTTATCAAGTTGAAATAGCATAACAGTCAATTGGAATTTGCCCAAAGTGTTGTTGGTAGTGGTCTCAATTAATTCTTTTGAAAAATCTATTTGTTTCATTAGGTTTCTTGAAAAATAGGTATAAAGTAGCCCAATTTTTTTGGTGATTACATCAATAAATGTACAAAAAATGGAATAAATAAGGATTCACTAACAAAGAAAAGTAAGGAAAATCAGTGAAAAGCAACAAGGAGAAAATACAGTGCATAAGGGATACAGTACTGTCTTTTCAGAATTGAGAATGTGAATATAAATGTTGGGTGGAGTCAGAGAAAATAACAATTTGGTAAACAATGAAATCTTTCCTTGAATTTAAATAGATTATTCTATTAAAGTTTGAATTAATTATAACTATAGTGCATTTTTTCCCTGCTGAGAAGAGATGCCCTCTCCCCTTCCTCAAGAGTTGGAGCTGATTGGTTGTTGCAAATTCATCCGATTTCATCCTGAAGTAATGATGTATTTCTAAATGAGTTTATTCATAATCGTTGGGATTACGGTTTCTGACGAGAAAGACATTTATCAAAATTATATAAAGATACATACAGTACATTCATTATTTCAAACAGGAGCACGTAGGAAGTTTATCAGAAATCTTATACATGAATTAACTGTTAAGCTCTGGTTACAAATTCATGCTTTTGGAGGACGCATTTAATTTATACCTACTTTTACCCACAATAAAGCATACTAAGACAGATTACGTATCAGTAATACGATAATACTGCTGATGCGAGAGTAGACAGCATATTGTAACATTGGAGTTAAAGCAGAGAGCTCTGGGAAAGTCCAAAAGTCGTCTGCTAGAATTCATTTGCATTCATATTTCCGGCCTCTGCTGACTGCTGTTCGCTCGAGCAGCCAAGTCTGTCACACTCGTCCACCAACTTTCAGGGGCCGTGTAATATTTCAATGTGATTCTGATATTTTAAAATTTTAGTTCTTGTATGATGTAGTATTATTGATATGTAATTTGTCTTAGTATGCCTTGTTGTGGGTAAAAATAAGTACAGGTTGTACCTCTCTAGTCCGGCAACCTCGGGACCTGACCGGTGCCGGACCATGGAAATTGCCGGACCATGGAAATTCACCCTTTTCCTGGATAGATAGTGACTTGTGCTTATGCCTGGAAGCACTAGCACCACTTTCTCTGCATCATGGTCTCTTTGAAGACATATTGAAGGGTTAAATGTCGTATAGTAGCTTCTCAAATTTCGCGAGTTTTTAATTCTTAACGTATTTTATTGGAACACACAAAAAAATAAATAAATAAAAATTTTGACGGCGAAAACTTGAATTTCGACGGGTTTGAACGGCCCGCCAACGTGCAGATGACGTGCATAATCGTGTAAACAGCGTCATTTCTCTTATGTACAAAAGATTCATTATTGTTAATTACTGAATGTCTTTTTTATTGAATTAATGTTTATGTGTGCAAAATGAGCAATACAATTCATTAATAATACATAGAATATTAAAACACACGAGGAAATGACACAGCATTGTTTTCGTTGGTTACAAAACCAGTGACTGACTGGTTCTACATATAAAACTGAAGAAAATAAGACCTTGGTTGTAGCTGTAGTAAAATGAATATGGTTGTTTTAAGTAATGTTATTTAATGTTAAAAATGGAACAATAGAAGTAGCTAACGATAATGGTAAAGAAAAAGAGAGATCGCATATGTAAGTGCGCATGCGCACAGGTGAAAACATATCGTCATTACTTTACATAAGAATATGAAAGCAACACTTATTTACTGTTCATATATATTTTAATTAATGTTTCTGAATTTGTTTTTATTGAATTAATGTACGTGTGTGCAAAATTAACAATACAATTTATTAATAATACGTGGAATATTAGAGGAGACGAGACGGCTGCCGGCATTGTTTATGTTAAAGCTTACGAAACCAGTGACTGATTGGTTCTACATATAAAACTGAAGAAAATAAGACCCTGAGTTTAGCTGTAGTAAAATTAATGTAAAAAATGAATATGGTTGCTTGAAGTACCTGTAATGTTATTTAATGTTAATAAATGGAACAATATAAGTAGCTAACCATTAATGGTAAAAAAAAAAGTGAGACTGCTCGTATGTAAGTGCGCACATGTGAAAATATATCGTCATTACTCTACATAAGAATATGAAAGCAACACTTATTTACTGCTCATATATATTGAAGGGTTAAATGTTGTACTCTGTATAGACAAGCAGAGAGAGAGAGAGAGAGAGCAGCCGAACTGCCGGATGTAAACAAACCTTAATTTCCCGCGGCTTTTTTTATTTTTTTAAGGGGATTAGCCCACCCGGGCATAGGTCACTGACCCACATTGGGGCCTGAGGGGCAAAAATTTAATACTCCTGTAATAATAATAATAATTCAGATAAGTAAAAAAAAAAACTGCCTATCTACCTATTGGACAAACTAAAATCGTTCCGGACCACAGAATGCCGGACTAGAGAGGTACAACCTGTAC